TCTTACTACTAGTACAATAGCATTCACTTGTATTCATTTGTAACAGTACTGGTATTTGAATAATGAACAAACAGCTGCTAGCTGCAAGACTGCTGCTGGTGCAAGAAGCTATTTTTTGTTTTTGTGTATAGTATTCTTGTGGCTTTGCAGCCACATTTGTAAATTGACAGTAATCCTCATATCGTATAGGCTTGGCCAGCAGATGTCCGATAATATCGGGGATTTTTGGCCATCTTTTTCCCGTGTAAAATATGTCAAGCGCGCCGACTGACATCACGAAATCTTGTCAGAACACACCATTTTTTCTTTAGAAATTTTGTCATGATGTCCGTCGGAGTGCTTGAAATAAATTCTCGATGAACATATTTACCTACAATAACATCCAATGTTGCACCTCCAATGTTGCACCAATACTGATCCTTCATGATGCCAATAGCAGGGAGGCAACTCGTTGTCCATTGTTGGACACAGAGGAGTCCTCACAACCATGTGCTGAAGCTACCATAATTCCAGTGAGAGCGCTTCTCGTTCCGACAACCGACAATCGCTTGCCACCCCTCCATCGACACTATCAGCATCATCCTCACTAATAAGCAACACTAAATCTCCAGCAAGAGTATCACCAACAGTACTCAGCAACACTATCAGCAACATTACTATCAATCCAAGGAAGCTTCCAACGCGTCAACCCTATCAACGAATCGACGAATCGACGATATCAGCATCCTCCATATCAGCGACTCGTATCAGCGACTCGTATCAGCGGACACCGTATCAGCATCCTCGTATCAGCGGCTCATATCAGCGGCTCGTATACACTATCAGCAACACTATCAGCAACACTATCGATCCAAGGAAGCTTCCAACGCGTCGACGCTATCAACGAATCCAGGATATCAGCAGCTCATATCAGTGGCTCATATCAGCGGCTCGTATCAGCCGATCCTCCGTATCAGCGGATCCTCCGTATCAGCATCCTCGTATCAGCGGCTCATATCAGCGGCTCATATCAGCAGCTCATATCAGCGGCTTGTATCAGCGGACACTGTATCCCCAATGCCACTCAACAATATAACCAATCGACGTTCATCAAGAACAAGGACAACACGACAACCAGCCTTACAACAGCAACGAGCTCTCTTTGAGTCCCAAGAATCTGCCTTTGAAGCAGCGTTTGAGTTAGAATCAGATGTGGAAACTTTGTTTGAGGATGATGAAAGCTCAAGTGATGA